CAGGCGGGTTGAGACACAGTGAGACCCTCTCTGGGGTAGGGGGGGGAGAACAAATGGTGGTTTAGAAGGGAACAATGAGTTTTAACAAGAACTTATAAAAAGAGCATATCGAATTTGCAAATAGCACAAGGTGTAAAGCACTGCTAACAGCAAGAACTGAAAACCTTTAGATTCGAATTATTTGGCCTGGCTTTAAGAGAAGGCCAACAGAACAAAATACAGCATCAAGATTCCAGACTTCCCATTTTAAACAAGGAAAACTTAATCACAAATATATTTCTTCTCCCTCCTGCAACCCATTAAAATGTCACTAAAAGAATCGAAAGAAAGAATGTAAATCCAGAAGTACAAGAAAAAAAGGGAAAAGACAGTGGAGGAAAGATTTCAACAGATTTTCGGAAAACGGTTAAGAGATGGAAGATGACAAATAGCTAATAAAATAGAAGACAGCCCAACGGAGGAGGGATACCTAGAAAAAGGATTAGAGCCTGGAATCACGGAACCAAAGATTGGAGCGCCTGCGAGCTCGGAAGGTGAGAGACAGACCTAGGGCTGAATGCAGGGGGGACTGAATCAAAACATGGATGTGGAGGGATGGGAACCAGCTCCCCTCCTCTACCCATCTCAGCTAGATAAGCACCCTCAACTTACCCCCGGGGAAGATCAGGGCACTGTCCTGAAGAGAATTTAAACCAGAGAGGCTCCAGAACTAGGGAGAGGGGAAACAGCAGCACTCAGGACTAAAATCCGGAGGGGGATTACCCTCAGGCTGAGTGGACCTGCCAGCCCACTGCCAGCCTTCTCCCCATCCTTTGGCAGCAAGGCTGTACCATCTAGGCAGCGGAATACTGCAGAGCGGGGCTGAGAACAGCTAGGGTGGAGAAGTAATGCATTAGAGTACGTAAGGCTCTCGGCGGCCCTCGGCATTTCTCTCTGCTGTGCTCTCCACTTACCAATTCAGTCTCGAGAAAGGGAAATACTTGCAAAATAATTCCATCCTTCTGTTAGGTTGGAATATTCAAGGAAAAGAAAATTCAAGAGAATTTGATAAAATAAATGGAAGGAAGAAATCCTCTAAACGTCATTTATTTTTTTCAGTGATTACATCCTTTATTAACACTGCAGGAATTTTCCAGTGGGGAGAAGGGCCGTGACTTCCCCTGGTTAAGAATGAGGACTCTTGGCCATCTAATGATCACAACAAGCCAGTTATCTTAAGTACGCACAACTGCCCAGGTGCTAGGTAATTCGTTTAGCAACTCTTCACTGCTAGGGTAGGACAGTGAGTAAGTACGCTCCTGGCTCTGCCCTGGCTGCGCTAGCACTCACCCCCACTAGCCTGGGGGTGAATCGAATTCTATAATTCTATAATCAACACACTAACTAACATGTCATAATCACTAACATTTTATTTCAAAGTAGAATTAGGGACGTGAAGTGTGAACTATCAGCATTCGTAACAATGACCATCTGAGTGTAAACTATGTGCCAGGAACTCTGATAAAGGTTCTGCCTACATTATCTCATTCAAACCTGACTATTCTCTCAACACTTCCCACATCTCACAGGCGAGGAACACAAAGTCCAAGAGGCCGAGTGGGAAGGCAGCAGTGGGGCCCGCTGTACCAAGTCGCTCTGACCCTAAAGCGCATGCCTTTCTACTCTGTGAAGCCAAGGTTGTAAGAACGCTCTCTAAACTTAGCGGGTGATGAATTCAGGCCTGGTTCAAAGATGCCTAATTTATATCTGCTCTTCTATGTTTCATGCATTTTTCTCTAAATGATCTTAATTCAGCATTTCTGTCCAGAACAGGTATATAAGACAATTGGGAAGAAAAAAAAAGTTGTGCATAAAATCTCATGAGAGACATCCTACATTAGACTTAAAATAGTCTAATAGCATATGTGTATGCATGTATGTAGGTACACAGTTTTTTCTGGTTTCACAATATTTTGAAAATTTTCATTTTATTTGAATATGCCTTTGCAAAACTCTCTAAAAGAAAAATATTTAAGGAATAAAAGAATAAGCAATACAAATACTTCCAGTTCACAAAGAGAATGTTCTGGTCTCCATGAGTATCTGTGAGAGAGCACTGACCAATCACTCTCTCTCTCTGTGAAAGGGAACTGGGTGATGCACCCTACCCTTAAACTCACACGACACTGTAAGTAACAAACAGGGGAACTTTGCAAAGTGGCTCTGATCAGAAGAAAAGGACTCAGCAGGAGGAAAGAGAAGTCGAATCAGCGCTTACTGCTTCCTCTGGCTGAAGCACTTAATTTAACAGTTTCTTTAGCAGCGCATCTACACTGGAGGGGCAGAGCTGACGAGACCCCAAGGAACCGCCACTCTAAGAGATGAACACCTGGCTGGCTCATTTTCTTTTATTAGAAAGGTGCTTAGGTTAGTCTGCAAAGAAAATAAATCGCACCTTTTCAGTCCCCTATTATAATAATCTCTCCATCTCAGCCTCCAGGAGCCAGTAAGACTGCTGAGTGAGCACCCTGTGGTGAATCTATGAAGCCTCAACGCTGACAAGCTGGGCCATGACAGAGGAGGAGCCACGGGCCGTGCCCACTCTCTCTCGCTGGTTTCTCTCTACACTAGCAACGTGCGCCAAATAAGAAAGAGAGAAAGTAGGTGAACAGACACAGCAGAGGTTTTCAAAGACGATATATTCTGGTTCAAGTTTGCTCCTTATTTGTAATTAAAAATTTAAATGAGCAGTTAACTGAAAACAGAAACCTAAGGCAATGTTTACCATGATTTGTGAAATTATAGTCCAAGCCACTGTGGTTTAAATTCACGACTTAATTTCATAATTAAATCCCAAGAAATATTACAAAAGGAAGAAAAAGAATGTACACCTATTTTTTTTCTTTGAGAGATTTTCGCTATAGGGCGCATGCACTCGCCGGACAGACAGAGAGAGACATACAGACAGAAAGCGAGAAATCACCCCCCAGAGGGGATGGTCATGCCGCAATCCCTTCTCCTCCATTCTCCTCTCGGGATCTTGGGCACGCACGCACACGCGCCCAGCGTGAGTTTTAAGTCACCGGGTCTGGGACATGAACTGCGGTGACTACGTGGGAGTCCAGTGACATAGCCATTACACTAACTGCTGGTTCCCTGTACACCTATTTTCAACAAGAAATAGAATAAAATGCAAAAAATCAAAATTAAAGTAACACTATTTCTCAAAGGGAGGAGGAGGTTAAGTGAGATATTTCTAAAATACCGAAGTCAGTTACTATACATTTTACACATAAAGGCAATGAAGTCAAAACTAGAGTTAACACCTTTCCTAAAACTCAACACTGTGCAGTAATAAGACATGGCATGAAAATGCAAATCTCCTGGTTACAAGATCCATGCTCTATTTAAAAACCAAGACACCTAAAGACTAAAGACCTTGGGAACCAGCAGTTAGCGTAATGGCTATGTCACTGGACTCCCACGTAGTAGACCACGGTTCACGTCCCGGACCCGGTGGCTTAAAACTCACGCCGGGCACGTGTGCGTGCGTGCCCAAGATCCCGAGAGGAGAATGGAGGAGAAGGGATTGCGGCGTGACCATCCCCCCTGGGGGGTGATTTCTTGCTTTCTGTCTCTATGTCTCTCTCTGTCTGTCTGGCGAGCGCACGCGCCCTACAGTGAAAATCTCTCCCAAAAAAAAAAAAAAAAAAAAAGACTAAAGACCCTACAAAAATTCAACTATTCGGGGACCCGCAGTTAGCGTAATGGCTATGTCGCTGGACTCCCATGTAGTTGACCGCAGTTTGAGTCCCAGACCTGGTGGCTTAAACTCAGGCCGGGCGTGTTTGCATGCGTGCCCACAGATCCGGAGAGGAGAATGAAGGAGAAAGGATTGCGGCATGGCCATCCCCCCTGGGGGGTGATTTCTCGCTTTCTGTCTCTCTGTCTCTCTCTGTCTTTCTGGCAAGCACACATGCCCCATAGCAAAAACCTCTCCTCCTCCCAAAAAAACAAATTCAACTATTCAAACTTCTGCTTACCATGATAAAAATGCCTAGGCCAAGAATACTTTCTGACAAACCTCTCAGAGAAAAATAAATAGTACAAACATATTTGAAGGACCCAACACATAGACACTTGCATAATAAGTAGATGAGGAAGATTTTTATCCAACTTAAACAAGCCTGACTTAAAATTTAAATAATCTTTCAGGTATTGAGAGGATAAATTAATATATGCTCAAGTTTGAAGTCTGACAGAAAATTTTTCAAGAATTCACTCATCCCACTACAGCCTTATCTCCAGAAATTACCCTGTTAATGACTCAAGGGAGGCCTTCCCAGGCTATATGTCTCATCGTGCTAGAGGGCTCACTAGAAAATGCTTTTCAAGAAAATATAATTTTAGGGACCAGCAGTTAGCATAATGGCTATGTCGCTGGACTCTCATGTAGTCAACCGCGGTTCGTGTCCTGGACCCGGTGGCTTAAAACTCATGCTGGGCGATCCCGAAAGGAGAATGGAAGAGAAGGGATTGCGGCGTGGTCATCCCCCCTGGGGGTGATTTCTCACTTTCTGTCTCTCTGTCTCTCTCTGTCTGGCGAGCGCATGCGCCCTATAGCAAAAACCTCTCAAAAAAAAAAAAAAAAGAAAGAAAGAAAGAAAGAAAGAAAGAAAGAAAAGATAATTTTATTAATAATAATTTATTTGATAAATATTCAAAAGAAACCTCTGTTAGTTACTAACATACTTTCCCAAATGAAATACACTTCATTTACAGAATGAAAATCTTTTGGAGTCTGGAGTACTGGTTCTAACAAGGGTGACAAGCAATGTCTGGAGGTTTTTCGGCGGCCACAACTGAAAGGTGCTGGTAGCATCCGGTGGGTACCGACCAGGGACTCTACTGAACACTCTACAGCGTACATGGCACCCCACGCAGAGAACTACCCAGCTCCAGCGAGCAGAGCCCTGGTCTGCAGTCTAACTTGCACTGTATAGACTATGAAGATCACTTACCTTTAAATTTAATATCCAGACCACTAAATTCCAATTCGACTCCCTGGAGTGCTTCTCCCAGGGTTTCATGGTAATGACTGATACTTTTTTTTGACCCCACACAGAATGGAAGTGAAAAGTATTTGTAAGTTTCTTGGCGATTATGGTAGGGTCCAACAGTGTTCATCCATAAGACAACCTCCTCTTTTTCTTGATACTGAAAAAAGAAAAGCAAAGAATTAAAAAAAAAAATCAAATTAAGGAGATATTTGTCATTCGTTCTAAACAGAAGTGTACTGTCTCTGTTGAGGAAGCTATAAAACAAAATACTGGAAGTGTGCTTTAATCTGATGATCAGCATCCACACCTGAAAGCTCAAGCTGACTGTGACCTCGGGCAGGTCCACCTTTTCCAAACTTTGCTTTAGGGAAGACAGTGTTTAAACAAGGCCGACAGCTCCCAAGAATACGCTGGTAGTTAAGACCTGTGCTATCGGATGGTGGTAAACCTAGAGTCAACATGATTCATCGAGCTAACACGAACAAGGAAGGAGGAAGCGGACTCGGGGCTCTCCAGAACCCCGTTAATCAGGATACACACAGAAGAACAAATGCTGCCAGGACGCGCAGATAAAACTCCTTCAGAGTCTGACAAAGAACCACTGCTCAGAGCTTTAGAGGAGAGAAATGACGCCACAAGAGTAAGGAGCGCCACACTACGAAACCGCCACGAGTCCACTCAAGCCGCCGTTCTGCTGGCAGCCTGGAAGACAGGCACTGCATGCATATTTTTTAAACAAGTAACTACGGCTCTACCCACCAGTGACTACGACATGTAGCTAAGTAGGCCCTGCGGTCTGATGAATGAGCAGCTGAACTTGAACCAAGGGCCAAAGGGGCATCTGACCAGGATTTCTCAGATCTCTAAGAGTGTAAATTTCCACTGATGCTATAAAAACCAAATAGCTGGGTAATTTTAGAACTAGTAATTATGATTAGCAATATAAATGGAAAATAACAACATACTTAAGTACACTGTTACCTGTGATTATAAGACGGTATAAAAACTCCGTCCTCCCATGTACTTGCACCACTCTGTCGCATCTCTATTGCCCTATTAAGATTTCACGAATGTTTAAAAGGAGTGGCTTCAGAATGCGTGGTTTAACACACACTGTGACGTTACCTTATTTCAGCCCTGTGTTTCAGTTTGTGTAAACAGATGCCCTATTTTTTTTTCTTTTTTTTTTGGAGAGGTTTTTGCTATAGGGCGCATGTGCTCGCCAGACGGACAGAGACAGACAGAGAGATAGAAAGCGAGAAATCACCCCCCAGGGGGGATGGCCACGCCGCAATCCCCTCTCCTCCATTCTCCTCTTGGGATCTTGGGCACGCACACACACGCGCCCAGGGCGTGAGTTTAAGCCACCAGGTCCAGGACTTGAACCGCGGTCGACTACATGGGAGTCCAGCGACATAGCCATTATGCTAACTGCTGGTCCTGAGATACCCTATTTTAAAACGTATTTTTGTTCAAATCTTTGTCTCTTTTTTTTTTCCCCCAGAGAGATTTTTGCTATAGGGCATGTACACTCACTAAAGAGACAGCGAGACAGAAAGTGAGAAACCAATCCCTGGGGGGATGGCCACACCATCCCTTTTCCTCCATTCTCCTCTTGGGATCTTGGCCACACATGCACACACACGCCCAGTATGAGTTTCACACCGCCTGGTCCGAGACTCAAACTGCAGGCGACTACGTGGAAGTCCAGCCACGTAACCATTATGCCATCTGCTGGTCCCAACTTTGTCTTTCTAATTATTTCAGACATGAAGACTCAAACCCTAAATCCATCTGCATCCCAGAGAACCAAAAAACATCCCTTTGTCTATCTTACCCAAAGCATCTTCCTTTCGGTTCATACCCAGCAGGCTGAGACTCAGATCTAGGTGCCTCATCTTCAAAAACAAACATTTAATAAATGTTTCACTGTCCATGTAAGATATTACCCAGGTCATCAAGAAAATAGAAAACCTCTCACCTTTTGAAAACACATGAGACATGTATCAAGCACAGTGTTAAGTACAAAGCATATCAAGGTAAACATAGTATTATCCTTTCCTTGAAGTAGTTCACGATCCACAGTGGAACCAAACAAATAAATGATTAACAATGCAAAAATAGATGTTATAATTAAGGTAAGAAAGTGCTTTTGTAGCAACAAAAAAAGGAATGATTAATTCTGCTTCAGCAGAAAAGGATCAGAATGAATAACAATATAGAAAATCATAAGCGATTTCCAATGAATTCAGAAGTACAACTGTAGGAAATCTTCATGCATCAAGTAATGTATCAAAGGCCTGGATATTAGTGTATCCGCACACCCTCATTCATAACTATTTTCATTTTGGGGGAGAGGCTGACAAAAATATTATCTGTATATAAAAACGTGTACATATATATTCATACACATATATACACACACATATACGCCACCACTCTTTCATCCAGTGCTCATGGCTACAAAGCACGAATTGATCCAGGTTCTCCTTTTTGCTAAACGTAGACTTAGCCTCAGAATTGCTCTCGAAATACTGCTGTAAACCAGACGCTATCACCACCAGTTACTGTTGAAACTGAAACCTGTAAACCAAGGCAGAATGCTCTCTGCTTAGGACAAGCCACACAGTGGGTACTGACTCGATGGGAAAACACTGAAGAAATGCTAAAACATGACGTTCATCAGCAACCTAGGAAAAGAAGTTTAAAGCATGTGAGCAGACTGCCTTAGTACCTCTTTAGAGAAATGAGAAAGAGGTAACAAATGTGCCCATTGAAGACTGGAATGATGACGGCAAGGACCTATTACTGAGGACCCTGCCATTAGTCCTGCTGAGTCTCCAAAAATGTGACTCATGAAAGAAGCACACAGAGACACTTTTTCTACCAATCACTATATACTTATTCCCTTAAAAAGAGACAAAAATTTGGGGACCAGCAGATGGCGTAATAGTAACTAGACTTCCACATGGCCAAGTGCAGTTGAGTCTCTGACCCTGTGGCTTGAAACTCGTGTTGGGCACATGTGCATGCATGCCCAATATCCCAAGAGGAGACTGGAGGAGAAGGGATTGTGGCATGGTCATCCTACCCCCCCAAGGGGGGGTTGACTTCTCACTTTCTGTGTCTCTGTCTCTTTAGTGAGTGTACACGTCCTATAGCAAAAAATCTCTCTGATAAAAAAAGGACAAAGATTTGAACAAAAACATGTTTTAAAATAGGGCATCTGTTTACACAAACTGAAACACAGGGCTGAAATAAGGTAACGTCACAGTGTGTGTTAAACCACGCATTCTGAAGTCACTCCTTTTAAACATTCGTGAAATCTTAATAGGCAATAGAGATGCAACAACTGCTGCAAGTACATGGATAATCATTTTACAATTTTAGAAGTTCCCTGAAAAAGTGGCTGAAATAGTAATTAGAAACACCCAGCATTTACGGTGAATATTAAGACAAAAATAATGCTTTCCTTTTGTATTGCTCTGTATTCTGCAGAAAGTGGTCAAATACAATGAACTGTGTGTTTACTTTTCACAGCAGTCCCTGACTGTCCCAGAGAACAGGTGCTCCTGAGTTCTTTCTCAAGTGAGAAAATGTTCCTTGGTTTGTTTATTTATGCATGGGCACCTATGCTCACTGGAGAGACAGAGGGGCAGAAAGCAATCCCTGTGGCCACACAGCAATCCCTTCTCTTCCACTCTCCTTTCAGGACGTTGGGCATGCAAGCACACTCCCCTGGACTGAGTTTCAAGCTGCAGGGTCTGGGACTGGAACTGTGTTCACCACATGGGAGTACAGCATCTTACTACTGTGTCACCTGCTCGCCCTGAAAGTATATTTCAAATATCATGAGATTTAGAAAATACCAAGAGGAAGACTTTGCCTACTCGATCCCTCTTTATTCATGATAGAGTGTGTGCCCGTGAGCCTGAGAGAGAAACAGAGAGACAGGAGCGCCCTCTACAGGGCCTGGTCATGCCATAATCCCCCTCCCTCCAGACCACTGGCTCATCCAGAAGAGTCCAGGAGACAGAGCAAAAAGGAGGGGAGTGGTTCAGGGGATCCCTGGGCATGGCAAGCATTTCTTCCATCTGAGGCCCCCCAGGGAAGTGGCCAAGTAAGGGGCGACCAGGTCAGGTGACCTGCATCCCTCGCCTGTCCATTTTCCGGCTCTCAGAAGAATTTCAGTGTGACCACTCAACTTGACCTTTCCTTCCAGCCAGAATGGCTAACGACAGGCTTCCTTTCCTTTCCTGTTCAACCTTTCTGTCACTTTCCCAAGTGTACAATGCCCTCCTTTTCCCACTTAACCAAATTCTGCGCATCCTCCGGACCTGCTTGGATCCTCCTCCCTGCGCGCATCCCTGCAGGGCCTCGTCCCGGCTGCAGTGCGCTCGCACCGTGAGCACGGCACATCCAACGCCACCCGACCCCTCAGAACTCTGACAGGTCCTATCATCGTCCCCATCTCACACACTACAAGGATACACGCAAAAAAGTAGTTACAAAAAGCAACTGAAGACAGTACTCGCCGCTGAACACCCTTTCCATGTGGGTCTTTAATCTGCCCTGAAGAAAAAAACTTTTCTAAGAAGCACTTGTGCTTTCATCTCAAAAGGAGTGACTTTTGTTCTTAAGAAGTCATGGATGTTGGCCCACTTATTTAAATATTCTGTTTCTGTGCTGGTGGAGGAGGGCATCAGTTTTCCTCTGTCGGTCACAAATTAACTTCTCTCAGGAGGAACACTTCAGAAGACAATGTTCTACCGTGATTATGTAAAATCTGAATAAAGAAATCAAAACTTCTACAGAAAGGCAAAGGGCCAGGCTCAGAAGAGGCATCCGAATGCTAGCGTGCATTCTCATGAAAGGGGGAAATATGCATTCACTTTAAAATTTGCATTTGAGAAAGCAAAATCCACTTTTGAAAGTATTTCAGAAATCATAATTCCAAAGCCTCTTAATTAATGAAAATATATATAAGAATTCCCATGCAAATCAGTTAGAAGTGTATCTTTGAATATTCTCAAGATAACTTCTCTCTCAAAATAGTTTCGTAGCTAAATAAACGTTTAATCTATCATTAAGTACAGCTGAAAATAGGACAATTGCAGGCATTTCCTAAAAACCAGGTCTATATTAGAGTACTCACAA